ATGACTTACCAACTTCATTTTTTATTAAATGCCACACAGCTTTCATTTTATTTTGAGACCTTGAAACATACTTATCATTTGCTATTTTTTTGCTTCTTTCATAACACTCTTATAAATTTTTTTATATCTGGTGATATACAATGGGGTACCCAAAAGAAACCGAACTAATTTTTTTGTGGGCAGAGCTTTTGTAGTACCTCATTTTGCCGCTATGAGCGCATAGAGCTAACATTCCTGAGTCGATAAGCCGACTACCGTTGCTTCAGAAGGTAAGGACTAGTTTCGGCAGAGTTTATAGTGACAACTGTTTTGTGTGATCGTCGTTTTTGCAATGGCCCGAACACATGAAAATGTTGAAAAAATTTGTGAAATCATCAAGGAAGATCGATGACGGACCATTGAAGAAATTGTGGAGCTGTCAGGAGTGACTTCGAGCTCAGTTCAGCGAATTATGACAGAAGATTTGGGAATGAAAAGGGTGGCTGCGAAATTCGTGCCACGACTGCTGACTGCTGAACAAAAACAAGGTCGCATGGAAGCATGCTGTGCTTTGAAAGAAGAGTCNTTTTTTAAAACCACTTAACAGTCTCATCCTTTTACCAGAATTTCTTATGCTTTGGGTAATCCATTTGTTTTTCCTTGTCATTTTCATATAAACAGTCTTTTTTGGAAATGCTATATTATAATAATAAAGGTTCGTGCCCATAAAATCATTAAAACTAGCACTTGCATCTGAGTTTGAAAAACTCTCCTGCCATAACTCCTTCTGTAGTAAATAATTAAACTCCTGGATATCCTCTTTAGTAAACTCTTTTTCTGCTCATTTTAGGACCCCACTCTCGTCTATTTACATTAATCTGTAGTGTTTGTGCCAAGTGGTCCGAATAACCCAAGTCCAATACTGATGATGTGTATTCCAAAACTTGCTTGTTTGTTGCTATGACATCTATCTGTGTTAAGGAATTCTTTGTGACCCTGATTGGGGATGTAATTATGTTGGCCATATTATAGAACCAAAGCAAATTTTTTAGTTCTCGTACTCTTACACTGTCATCGAAGAAGTTTATGTTCCAGTCACCACATAAAATTATTTTTTTTCTTCAACTGCACATTTTGGATTGCAACTTCCAAATTTTTTAGGAATATGTAAAAGTCACCATCTGGTGACCTATAAATACACACAGCAACTATTTTGTCCTTCAACAATTCCACTACGGACTAGAACTCCGTCCTAAGTGCAAACTATATTTATAGTATTATATTTCAGCATCCTGTTACACTCACACAATATATATGGACAAATACCGTCTTAAGTGCAACAATTTTATTGTAGTTTTTGCTTCTTTTTCCTCCTCCACACTACATGTTTCGGCCCTAAATGGCCATCATCAGGTGTGTATCACTCACGTAGCTGTTACACTGCTTGTTAAAATTTAAAATCACCAGTCTTTCTAATTGTATAAAATCTTTGTTAAACACGCGTCGATTTGATTTTTAAATTAGCACTTTTTAAAACTTTAATTCAAGTTAAAATGTCTATAAGATCTCTGTTCTTTCTTTTTCAAAATTTTTAAATTTAAATTTAAAATTTATAGGTCTTTCGTTTTTTTCTTCTTTATACACTACATGTTTCGGCCCCAAACGGCCATCATCAGGTGTATACATTCACGTATCTGTTACACTGCACTTATTTATAACATTTAAAATTTAAAACATAGGTCTTCCTGATTAGCACTTATAAAATCTTCGGTTCTAATTTGAAATCCTTTAAAAAATTTTTCTCTAAATTTTAAATTTTAAACATGTCATGGTTACTCGCCCTATGTCTGTAGTGCTGCAGCGGCTTCTTCTTGTTTCTAGTATTGTATAAGTGTTATTCTGTGTAGTCTTCTTGTGTGCGTGCCGCTGCTTATCTTTACGTGTAGTGTATAACGAAGAACAAAACAAAAGACCTATAAATATAGTTTGCACTTAGGACGGAGATATATCATATATCATATAAAGTGCAACAGGATGCTTAAATATAATATTGTCCACTATGGACATTTCAGAATCTTTTTCCTTACCTAATTTTTGCAAGTAGAGTAGTTCTGTAGTTTGTACATACTCTTTTACGTATATACATGAACCACCATGTTCATAACTAGTTCTACTAAACTTACTTACTAGTTTAAAATGCTCAATATTTGTTAATTCTAACTGATCCTACTTTAGCCAATGCTCAGTAAAACATAATATATCAACATTTTTAGGTCAGATTTTAGTAAAACAGTTAGTTACAGTATTTTATTTTTTAAGTTCTGCACATTATGATGGAGCATTTGTATATTATCTGCTTTTATATGAGTCATGTTTTTATTTTGCTGTCTCCCGTCCATAAAAAAAATCATCCCTTCTTTTTGAGGGTGGTTTTCAGAGTCTTCATGATCGCATAATTTTAGTCGTGTCTAAATTTCGATCCAGATTGAGATCCCTGCTAGAATTTTTAATGTCACCCACAAGATGTGGGCTGACATTCTCTTGGGAAATCAGTGAAGTCAGGGTGTGATCAGTCTCATTTGGCTTTAAAACCCCATTACTCTCTTGCTTTCCTATCATGTCACAGTCTTTATTCAAGAGGAGCTGGGACTTACTGTCCCGATCACTCCCATCAACTCCACTCCAATCTCATTTCACTTCATGTGCATAATATAAACAAGTTTAACTGCAGTAACAAATTAAACATACAAAAGAAGATTAAATCCCATTAACGGTTAACATAGGTACATTACCAATGTTATATTTTAGCGTCCTGTTACACTGATTCATGTCCATGGTTTATGCTGTCCGTCTTACAGTGTATACACGTTTTCACCTTATTCTTCACTTCCACACTACATGTTTCAGCACTAATGTGCCATCTTCAGGTGTCTTTATGCATGTTAAACTATTGTACTGCATGCCATGATGTCTTCATTCTAAAATGACTGAACTTTGTATTCGCCATATATGACTATGAATTCTAAATAATAAAACTTTTCAGGATTCTTCGTACATATATTTGTGTATCGTGTTCTGTGTTGTGTCTTGCTCCTGTTACTGCATGCGTGTACTGCTCTGTACTGCTGCAGTAGAACGCATGCAGTAACAGGAGCAAGACACAACACAGAACACAATACACAAATATATGTAGGAAGAATGCTCACATAAAAGAGGATTGGCGTTATTCGCGTGTTTGAGTGCGACATAGGAAGAATCCTGAAAAGTTTTATTATTTAGAATTCATCGTCATATATGATGAATACAAATTTTAGTCATTTTAGAATGAAGACATCATGGCATGCAGTACAATAGTTTAACGTGCATAAAGACACCTAAAGATGGCACACTAGTGCTGAAACATGTAGCGTGGAAGTGAAGAATAAGGTGAAAAAGTGTATACACTGTAAGACGGTCAGCATAAACCATGGACATAGGTACATTACATTGTGCATTGTTTTAAATCTCATGATTGGATTACATGCAACTTTCTGATGTGAAGTACATAAGATATGATTGTCAAACAGCCATTATACTTAGCCTTAAAATGTATATTATGATAGTGGCACATAAACTATATATGAACCTATAACTGTTGAATTTTTAACATAATTAAATGAACACATTTAAGTTATGGTGCTCATAATGAAAGTGATGCTCTTCATAATGTACATAGTTAGGGTCTGTACCATCTTACCTATCTGTAGTTCCTGTGTCTGTGACATTACACTGGTAGCAGAAGTCCCATTATGTACTTCACCCAGTTGCAACTTGAGATCGTGGAACAGATTTTACCAGTATATAATTGCACACAGCCAACCACAGTGGCCACATGATCTAAGGCATGAACTGTCTTCACTTGCTTCAATGGTGGAATTGTGGGTTCAAATCACACTCAAGACATGGACGTTTATGTGTGCATTTATTCTGTGTTTGTGTTGTCCTGTGTGTAGGCAGTGGCCTTGAGATGAGCTCATCACTTGTACAGGGGTTCCTACCATCTGTATGAAAAAGATTATGAAACTGAAGAAGAGGCCAGGGCCCAACAAACGGCTGTAGAGCCAATGATGAATGACTACGCGTGCACACATGCACGCACGTAAATAATTTTATTTTGCTTGTGTTTAGTGTGTACCATATTTTCTCTACTTCAGTGTTGTAAACAGTGTTGAAGTTAATCCATACTGCCTTCCTATTTCACTTCTTGCTGAGCTGCTGACTTCACACAGACATATTATTTAAAGCTTTCTCTTCAAGTCCAAGGTCTTCCTTTCCATTGCCATAATTAGGGTTTTTGAAAATTGTGTAGTTAACGGCACGAAAAATGCAGTAGATGTTTTATAGGAGCAAAAAACTTGAACATGCACCTGCATAGTTGCATCCTATGACATTCATGTTCATCCTGTGTCAGTGAGTGTTCAGTGGAAAGGAAAATTTGCGTGATAAAGAAGAGGGAGATACTGCACCATGCCTCTTTAAGCTGGAGTTCAACTAGCCAGGTGACATAATACATAATGGAGTAAGCTATTGAACTGTTGGACTAAAGAAGAATTTGAGAGATTCTATAATGTGAACTTTCTCATAGACAAGGATAGGTTAGATAGGGTGGGCAAATGTAACATTTATGAACTGACAGATGTAAATAACTTCTGAAGCAAAACTGCAGGGATGGTTAATGAAGAAAATTATGAGAAAACAGTTTGCTGTTACTGCAAAGGCATGGGAAACAAGCCCTCATGTTATGCAGTGGTTTTCTCTATATGTTCGGTTAAGAAATGGATGGTTACAGTGGTTTTTATCATTATTATGAAGTCCTCATTATAACCCATTCTCACACTTTCATGGTTTCACTATACGAATAGTCATAAATTATTTACCATGAGTCTGTAAAATGGGGAAGAACCAGGTGACTCTGTAATTGTCATTTGTACAAACTGACTTGAAACATGCATAGAAGAGTGTTATCCATATATTTGACACAGGGGTGCAGAGTTGATCGAGGAATTACGAATGAAGCGGATAAGAGAGCAAGAGAATCAGGAACACCGTATTCTTGAGAAGATAAGGGTGAAGATGGAACGAATTAAGGCCACTCAACAGAAGATCCAGGGACCCATGTTCAAAGAGCCTGAGAGTCATCATGTTGGTGAGTTAAATTGAATGTTTGTTGATATTACAACAGTGATACTCCGTTTATGTAATAATTGTCTATAGAAATAAAACCATATTTTATTTTATAAACATTATTTCAAAACCAGAAATTCAAGTTTTGTAATCATAAATTGGAGATTTTCAATTTAGTCCAAAACTTAGTTATTTATTCTTAGTAACTGGGAAGACTGATATCCGTAAATGAAAAGGGTATTCCAGAACCAAAAATCTGTCTAAATGCAGTGAAACCTTTTTGTGAAGTATTCCAGAGGATAAAGCAATTCAGGCCTCTTATGCAGGAAAAATAGTAGTTTCAAAAAAACATTTCAAATCCATTTTACAGGTAAAAATATTTATAATACAAATTAACACTTAAATGCATTAAAATGCCATTGAAATTACAATAATTGTGTATTGACACAGTGTATTCTGTAATGTGAGCAATTTACATTTCATTCCTGTCTTTGCAGCTCCCATGTTCCTTACTCCTCATACTAACAATAAATAAAGCCACTGATTTGCTCACTGTACTGATAAATTGATAACTTTCAGAACATTATGCAACATTGTACCAACAGATATTCTGGAGACATGCAAACTGACATGACTTAAACATTAATAGGAAAATTTGTAAAACATTTGATCATATGCAATGACTGAAACAGAATCATGTTTCTTCAGACATAAAGGAAATGAGTAACAAGTCAAGCTGCTTTCAAGTGCTAGCTAAATGTAAGAGCAAGCCATCATATATGATAGATAATGTGGTTCCACTCAGTTTCACGTGTTGCATTATTGCTAACCAGCAGAAGCCAAACCACCTGTAACCATTTCCTATAAATGGGTTAAGTTTGTAACCAATGAGTCATCTTTAAAAAAAAACCATCAAGTAGAATGTTATTGTAAGTAAGTAAAATATAGTTTCATAATACTGAAGTAATGCTTCAAATGTGGGAAATCTTTTTATGCAAGGAGCAAATTAAGTGGATTAAAAATACATTTTTGCCTTGTGACAACATTTTGTCTCATTACCAATAACCAAGCTTCTCTTGAATATTCTCTGTTAAAATTTTATGACTGTAATTTAATGGAATGTGGAAGTAATTCGTTGTATTATCATACCACAATGGATCCAGTTCTTTTTTCCATATAGCTGATTATGCGGAATAATCCAGGAAAAACTTCCCTTGTATAAGAAGGAACTTGGGCAGTTGAATAAAAGAATAAAGTTTGTGATTAACAATTTAGCAGGTCTTGATTCGACTTTTGTTGACTGGACAGGTGTTCTTTGACTTGGCAGTAAGGTACATCTGGAATATCTAAATGTGACATCATATATCTTACTAGATAGGTTTATACAAAATGTACCAAACTACATGGTGTTACAGCCTAGAAGACCATAATCTTAACATTCACTGCCATGAAAACCTCATATCTTACAATTAATGAGAAATTCCCATATGAGGGTTCTCATCCATTAGTTTAGTGGGAAGAACATATATAACGATCTTAGATGTGCCCTTCAATTCCATCTTGATAGGAATTTTTCACACTATTAATTTTACATCACAGTATGTTAGTGTAATTACCAAGCTAGGAAATGCAGAATAATTAAGCGTTCAGAATTAGGAACGTCAAACGGATAAAAAATTGACATATATTTATGACCTTATATTTGAAGTCAGTGAAAGTCTACCATATTTCCTAATCATGAATAAATTGTCTAATAAATAGCAGGTTGTAACGAAAGGAACAGTGGTTATTTTCTAATTTCTTACTTCTGACACTCAAAAGAGTGGCAGTGAAAAATGTACAACATATATTAATATCTGCAATAATTAATTATTTCTTTTTCACAAACGTTTCCTCTTATGCAAAAAAAGAATAGCTCTCTTGCAGAAAGTTGTAGTTGCTGCTACAGTAGCTGTGAAGCTACTGTTTTAAATAATCTATATTTTATTGTAAACTTTTGTCAATTGTTCATTTTTTCACTCACATTTCTCCTCAGTGAAGATGCTTACAGAAAACAGTCACCAAAGTTTATTATCCTGAAGTGTGGTTCCACACGATAATGCCATATCTTCAGTAACAAGAATAATTATTTTTCCCTTGCAGCATATTGATTTAAAAATCCCTCTCCCTCTCTCTCTTTTTTAATGCAAATGTCCATAAGGTTTCATATTATGGCTTTTACAGTTCTACTTTCTGTTTTCCACTATATACAATATATGAATTATATTGTGGTTGGCTGGCTGTCTGTTTACCTGCAGACTCTCTCTGGACTGACTGGCTTGTGTTTCAATTCTCCAGATATAGCCTCTGCACGGACCCAACAGAAAACACCGCTTCCCACAGTTCCACTATTTTGATGTGACATCACCGCTGATGCAGGCATGACGTGTCCCTCTGTTGTGTGTAAGCGTGGCTGTGGTCACATGACCTGGTAGCCGTGGAAATGCATTTACAGAGCTATTGCCTCATGACAGCAGTCCCTGCTGATTAAACTGTTCCAGCTTTCAGTGGACATGCCACAATATTAAACATTTTCAGTTGCTGTTTGTTAAGCTCCAAGAGCTGGAAATTGATGTTTTAAGATTGTTTCTTATTTCCTGGCACATGAGTTCTCAATGTACCTTTGTCAGAAGTACAGGGTCATCAAAAAGGAATTCCAGGATTCAGTTGTTTAATATGTGGGTAGATTTGGGACATATGATTTAATGTTTGTATTGGAATATTAAAAAACTCCAGGATTTATCCTGACTTGTCCTGTGCACTGCTGCTGTCACAGTGAATGTTACTATGCATTAGTATTTCTCTTTTCACTATCTCTTCCAGCCCATTCAGGGCCCTGGGCTCTTATTAAGTTCTAAGTTCCATAATTATTTTTTCACAGACAGTAGGACTCCTTGGACAGCGATAAGCTCGTCACAAGGCGTCTATCTAAACACTGAGCAACACAAACACGGAATAAACGCATACACACACCAAACATCCATGCCTTAAGTGGGATTTCAGTCCATGACCCCACCTTCCAAGTGGGTGAAACTGTTCATGCCTTAGACCGCACAGCTACTGTGACCAGTGCATTAGTAGTTGCTTGGGGGTATTCATGTTATGTGATTGGTTAGTCAGTTAGTGGATTGGCATCCATTCAGCAGAAAGCTAATTATGTGCTATGGTGTACCCGGTTCAAGTCAGTTTTGATCATTCAACTTAATTTTTGATGTACATATGGAACAGACAAATCAGTTACTCAGGTTAAAGAAATTGGCCGGGCCTCAAAGGAGTCCTGACATAACACCACTTGATTTTTTCATTTGGGGGTATGTGAGAAATGTCTGTGATGTAAAAATTTGTAATTTGTTCACCTATGACAGAATCACAGTAGCTATAGCAACAGTTCCACCAGACATATTTCACTGTACCTGAACAGAAACAGAGTCCCACTTAGATGTTTGTACAGTTACAAATGGTGGTGACATCAAACCTCTTATGGTATGATGTTAAATTTTGAGAGTTCTTACACATTTTCTGAAAAAGATATCAGAGTTTCTTACTGTATTTAAAAAGATATTAAATTTTGATATCCTGGGCATCTTTTTCAATGACCTTGTATTGTCGATGTGCATGCCACGGACACTTTCACAGGGAAACATCTTTGCCAGCACGTGATGCATGTCAACACTATTCCCATGAACTTCCAGTAGGTGGTGGGAGCAGCTATGTGTATGCTGTTTCTTTACAGTACTTCAAGAATGATATTTGGAATTTGAAGGCTTGGAAAGAAATTTTTGTAAGTAAGATAGAATTTATGCAGAAATTAACATGCTGGTAGTAAAACCCAGTATCACCACTGAATAAAAAGGGCAGACATCATTTAAGAATATTTAACATTTAATGTTATGATGAAAATTTATATGACCTGAAAAAAACATACTGAGATGACGAACTTGACATATTCTGAACACACAAAGAGGACATTGTGTTTTAAATGATTTGTAATGAAATAAAGTGAGAATTATGTAAATACATATTTCTCCATGCCCCTTAGTTGCAAATTATGTTCTTTGGTGGGTAAAAGCAGAAACTGTTAGTTGAATATTTTTTTTTTTTGTTTCTAAGGGTAGATTATGTTGTAACTTCTTCAGTAAACTGTATAGGAAGAAAACTAATGAAAATTACAGTATCAGTATTACCAACATCAGCTGTCAAAATAACCATACAACATAATCATGTAACAAAAACGCAAATGGAATATGCTTATATATACTGAGCAGATACTGAAGGAATACTTTGGTGATTTAAGCTGTTTTAGCTTAACAAGAATGATTTGTTCATATAAATCTTCTGTAATATTAATGCTTTTTCATACTTTACATAGTTCCAATAATGAAAACTACACAATGCAAATAAAGGAAAGGAACACCAGTTTTTCATTTTCTGCTAATATAATGACTAGTTTGCACTCGTTTTACTTTTTTGTATTATAAAGAAAATGTTCACACAAGTTGGACAGTTTTTGAGAACAATTATGTTTTACAAACTTTTAATAGACTTGTATATTTACTCCTGTGTAGGTCATTACCACGAAAAATATAAAGTCAAATGTGGAAACTTTTGTTGTTGTCAGTTTCAGAAATTGCGGACTCTCTTTCTACTAATTTGACACAAATTCTTAGCTGTGACTGCTTAAACCTTAAATACAGAAAAAGAACGGATTTATAAATATACGTGGTGTGTTCAAAAGGTATCAAACCTTTGGTCGGCAGAAATGCATTTACTGATTTTGGGTACAAAACACTAATCCCCTTCAAAGTAGTCTCTTTGGTAATGCACACACTTCTCCCAGCGCTTCCGCCATTGTTGGAAACACTTCTGGAATGTGTCTTTTGGCATGGTGATCAGGTGGGCTGTCGCATTCTGCATGATGTCTTCTCTTGACTCAAATCAGGTTCCTTTCAGCCGCATTTTCAGCTTGGAAAATAGCCAAAAGTCACACGGAGCCATGTCAGGGGAGTAGGGAGCCTGACGAACCACGTGGATGTTGTGTTTGGTGACAAAAGTGTGAATCAGATGTGCAGAATGGGTGGGTGCGTTATCATGATGGAGCTGCCAAGTTTTTGCTGCCCACAGATCCGGTCGTTTGTGCCGCACAGCATCACGAAGGCGACGAAGGACCTCCTTGTAGTATTCCTTTGTGATGGTTTGGCCTTGTGGTGTGTACTCATGATGCACAACCCCACAGGAGTTGAAGAAAACGGCCAACATGACCTTGACATTGCTGCCGACCTGCCATGCTTTCTTTGGCCTCGGGGATGCTGGATGTTTCCACTGTGACAACTGCATCTTGGTTTCCGGGTCATACCCATAAACCCACAACTCATCGCCTGTCATCATGGTGTTCAGAAAGTTGGAGTTACTGTTTGCATTGTCCAGCATGTCCTGTGTAATTTCCAGATGGCGTTGATTCTGCTCCATTGTTAGCAGTTTCAGTACGAATTTCGCGGACACTCTCCTCATGCCAAAATCCTTGGTCAAAATTGAATGTACCGATCCAGTGCTTACCCCTATCTCGTCTGCAAGTTCTTGGACTGTGATACGACAGTCCTTCATGACCAAAGTCCACACTTGCTAAATGACATTCTCATTTCGGCTTGTTGAGGGTCTGCCTGAACGCAGTTCGCTGTCCACTGATGTGTGGCCATCTTTGAAGCGGTTGTACCACTCCTTTATCCATGAGTTGCTCATGGCATCGTCCCTGAAAGCCTGTTAAATCTTGCAAATGGTTTCCACTTTGGTATCGCCAAACTTTTGGCAAAATTTGATGCAATATCACTGCTCATGTTGTTCAGTCATTTTACGCCTTACTGGAATCCGACGAGCGCTCACTACACGTCCTCGCTCATAGGCCGACTGCCAGAGACTGACGCTTTCTGTGGGTGGGAAAAAATTCACGACTGCGCATGAATGTCCCCTCCACATCTCTACCGAAGGGAGCCTCCCGCGCTTCATTGGTTTACGCGGGAAAAAAGAAGGTTCGATACTTTTTGAACGCACCACTTAAATAATATACCATAGAAACATTATGATTTCAGGAGCTTTTTTTATGTTGTTTTATTCCACATTCTTAAAATGTTTTGAAGCCTTCAGAGTCCATAGTGCCACACTTTTGTGTGTAATTTGTAATTGCTTGTCTCTTCTGTATTGCATAATTTTCATTGCAGCATAATTGAATGGTGATAATTCATTTTTTTATTGACCATTTCAATGGCTGTGTTTCTAATAAATTATGTATTTCAGTGTACATTAACCTCATGTTACATCTTCATGTTCACAACATGTACACCTCATTGCTAGATGGTATGAGACTCAGTCCATAGACCCCTTCATGTTCTTCATGTGAAGAGTGACCAAAATGCAGACTTGGCTGTTACACTTACCATCAAACAACTAACTAGGACATGTCTTTTAACAGCAGTCCCTCTGGCCCAGTCCCCCAGCATGACTTCCCCTGCATCCCCCCAAGGCTATCACACCCCTATTGATGACAACGAAGAAGAAGGAGACCTCCCTCCCCTCACACCACGTGGGGCAGGCTCACTACTGCAAGCACCAACACCCAGTTCTGCCATCATGACAGTGTCATTGGATGGCTACCTGGAACCACAGCGCATGTCATTTAGCTCACCCCCCACCTCTGAGCTGATTCCCCGTGCGCCCTCGCTTGATATGGACAGCTTCCCAGTGTTCTCCCCACCACCATATGGTGCCGTGGTGGGGCACAGCACAACTGGTAGCAGTTTGGGTGGCGGTCATCGACGTCAGTCGTCCATCGGTCCCCCCTGGATGCATCCGCTCGCCACCCCACGCCCCTCTGTCTCTCTGTCATCGCCGCAGTCCCACCACACATGTAATGAGACCTCACCTTGCTTGCATTTAACTGGCACCATTCTCACTGCATCCTGACCACCAGCCCACTCTTTGTAGTTTCACTAGTAGCTCTTAGCTTAGTGATACTGTAGCTGCCTTTCATGTTCTGTGGCTGATGTTGTACATAAGTGATTGAATATGAGAATACCAGACAAGACCAGTGGAATACTGAATGCAGGTTTTATCATGTTCACCTTGTACTCATCCCAGTTCCAGACAGATCTAGTTCAACTGTTTGAATGTGTCTGAAGTTTATATTTATTTTTCTCTCCAGAATTTGGTTTATTTTCTTCAACATTATGTCTTTAACCTGTGGAGAAACATCACAAATTTTACTGTAATTATCTTCATTCCTGGAGCAGTAGAAAATGTTCAAGCTTTTTTATTTTGTTTTTTTACTGTAAGTGCATAAGTTAATGTATTAATTTTTAAGTTTCTTATTGAAGTTTTTGTTTATATCTTTATTGTTGTGCTATTCTGTTTTGTTTTTGAAAGTGTCTTCTTTTATTTTTGGTTCACACTCCTCAGCACCACCTGGGTCTGTTCGGCGATATCCAAGAACAAATCGTGATGGTAATGCACTGTTTGTGATAAGCTTTGCTCACAAATGGGTCAGCTTTGGTGGAAGGCTGATGAAACATGTTTCTTAGCTTGGTTGCTGGGATGTCATTCCATGTTTATCATATTTCCTTTTAACAAACACTTTCCACAACTTTATGGATTAAAAACTTATGTGATAAAGTAACATTGCCAGTAATAATTAATGATAAAATCCCTTGCAGAATATGATTACAGGATAATAAAATTAATATACTAATCTGTTTATTTCTTTTCTTTAAAGAAACCGTTTTTAGAGCAGTACAGATGCATTTTTCCTTTCAGACGTTAAACAGAACTCGCAGAACAAATGTGTCCAGGTGGATATATCATGTATATTCACTCCTGTGTTAACATGTGCCATGAAAGAATAATGAAGAAATATTATAATTTAGTTCCCAGTGAGAATTTTACTAATTAAAATATTTTTAGTTACATTTCATTAAACATTTGGTAGATAAAGAAAACATTACAAAGAAAAAACTTTTGGAACTTGTTCTTTGTTGTAGTAAATGTGCCATCGAGATCTTTAAATTTGAGAAATATTTTATGTTGTATGCTTTTCTTTTGGCTGTTTTCAAGATATAAGATGTTGACATAACAGTTTGTGCTGTGTGACTAATGTGCACTTCCTGTAATCAGAAATACAAAAAGCAAATACTCTGTTCTGATACAAATTCATTCATTTTACATAACCAGGATGACTTAACTACACCATTCCAAAATTTAAGGTTCTCTTTTATTTTGACTGAATCATTCATAGGTTTTATTTAAACCTATACAGAGAAATTACAAAAACACACAGAAAATCTGTACCTCACTCAAGTGTTTGTTATATTTTCCAAAACAGTGTGAGTTCAAATTTAGAGTTACAAGTCACCTGTTGAAATTTTTATAAAGTGTGGATTATTATAGTAAACTAATCTTTTGTTTTATCCCTTACTGTAGTATTTTATAACATTGTATTATACTCTGCTTTTAGTTTCCATGTTTTTTATTTTCCTTGGCTGGAAACTGACTGTTGTTTTTGCCCGATGTTAGCACTTTAACACTGTTTTAGATTCTGGATGCAGTTTCAAGTTTTTATTTTTCTCATCAAGTTTTCGGTTTCAAATGCATGTCATTACTATCTGCTTGTGTATTAGCATATTACCCACACTTATTGCAGTCATAACAGGAACTGAATACATGAAGCATTTATGTAGGAGTGAAAAAGAACTGAAGCTGAGAGCAGAGAATAATTGCATTTGCAATATAGCATTTGGATTGTTGATGTTATACTCACCAGGCATTACAAATTTGGCAGAATAACCTGTGGGGTATTACATCATTACAATTACGTATGCTGGAACTAGCTGTATTGCTAACACAGCTTCTAAACACCGACATCCTTGATCATGCCTGCATGAAAAGGATCTTCAGTACTGAATCAGTAAGCTATTGAAGCCTTGTTTTACAATTTGATATGCCTATTCAGTTGCCATTGCTGAATTTATTCCCTCTGAATTCTACTTCACATTGGGATCCTTTGAAACACACTTTGAGAACCACTGACACAGACCACAGTCCTACAAAATTTTTGTCAAATTATTCAATCTTGCTTGATTCTGTACATTGTATAACTAAAATACTGACTATAAGCTACAACATATCACTCTCCGTTGCAACTGAAACTTGTTAAGGCATGCTTAAAATTATAATTTTTAGTTATGAATAAAAGTGGAAGTAATATAAGTAAACTCCCTGTTATCCACCATGTATTGGGTATGGGGTCTGCCAGTTGCATGAAAGAAACTGTTATAAAAACCCAATACAGAGTCAAAACAACACATTTTCACTTTAGTCCTTGCATAGGAGTCTTCATAGGGCACACAACAGATTGATGAGTGGAGGATTTTTTTTATATAAATACTCTAATGCTATCACAAATCTAACTAGCACCAACTCTGAAGGTACCTGCATGATGGAGGGTGATAGCCTACTTAGTGGTGGCTGGGAGAACTGCTGCATGGCAGCTGGGCATATATGCATCACAAATTTGTTTTTGTTTTTTAAATAATTTTATAAAAATATGAAGGTCTCTTTGAAATTGTTGGGGGTGCGCGGTAGCGTAGTGGTTGAGGCGCTATGCTACAAGCCGAAAGGTCGCAGGTTCAAGTCCCGATGAGGTCATTGGATTTTTTTCAGTTGATCTAATCCTTCCAGCCACACTAGGCCCTGGGGTTTACTCAGCCTCTAACAGAAATGAGTACCAGGAATTAATTAAATAATTTTTCTGGGGAGTAAAGTGTGGCCAGCGCATAAGGCTGACAACCTTACGCCATCTTTGAGCCGATTGTCTAGATAATGTGGGACCTTGAACATCTCACAACCCTATGGGCCTTCATGGCCTGGTACAGGGATAGCTTTACTTTTTACTTTACTTGAAATTGTTGCCAATTGGATGGGAATTCTGGATGCTTGGATACCAGAAAACCAGGAGTTTACTGATTTTGTTTTTGTCATGTTATGATTGCAGTAGCCGGTATCATGCAGTATCACTCGTTCAGCATGCAGCTTTTGTCAGTTAAAATGAGCTTTGAAATATCTCCTGTGTCAGATATCATTCTGTCTTGTAGAATTTGTGACTTAATTTGATGCTAATGTCAGGAATCTTACACCTATACACAGTGCATGCTTGGCAGGTGCCAGGAAGTATATGTTTGAGGTGTAAGACGTACTGCATTAAAAATTGCTGTTGTAATATAGAGTTACCACTCTTGCTTCGTATTCAGAGTTTCCCAGATCATAGTTTCAGTCTGGAGAATGGCTATTCTGTTATTATGATTTTCCTCATTCTCCCCAAACAGATACAAGACAGAATCTAACCCTGCTGCGTTCATTTGAACATTCATTTTATACTTTAATTTTCCCCATATGTTATCTACTAAGCTGGTTTCCTAGTTGTAGTATAGAGGAAGCATGCTTCCCATTTTTGCGTTCTCATAAAATTTTTACTATAAAATGTATCCAACTTTAAATTATTCTGGATCTTGCATTAAATAAATCATAATCTGGGTTAGGAAATGTTAAAATAGGCTGTGACCACTACTTCTGCGTCTGTTCCACTTCGGTAATCATACTTTCATTAACAGTGTAACCTTGGCAGTTGAAGTAATGTCATCAAATAAATTAAGAATCAATCGTTTAGTGAGTCGGTCTCATTATGAAGTGACAGTGAGAACAGTTATTCCAGTTGTATAGACTATGGAAGTTTTTTTGCCCTATTTATTAACAGTGATGTCATTTTTCCTCTTATAAATGACGTAAGGTAGAAACTAGGATTTTGGCACATTCACAATGAAAAATTAAAAAAAAAAAATTTCCATTTGGTTTACCATATCTGTCTGTTCATCTGTCTATATTGAAAAACTGAAGAACCAATGAATGGATTTTCATAACATTTGTATTTTTTTAGTTTTACCAAAATCTTTCATGATATTTCAATTTTGAACAAAATCTGACGGCAACAGTGGGCGTTTTACACAAAGGCTGCACACATTTCTGCATGCATCTTGAGCTTAATTTGTTAAATATTTGTTAGAGCAAAACATGTTTAGCCAAAAGTTGTAGAGAGAAGAGACCCTCATTTTATGCCAAATTATACTTTTTCTCCCCATTTTTAAAGTAAGTAAATAAAAGTGATATTTGTAATGAGCCATATCATAACTCAAGAGTAATTGGTCAGAGTTTAATCACATCTTATACTGAAAGTCCTTGCTGTTCCACCCATCCTGTTTTATGCTGTTTGTAGAAAGATGTCAGAAGTGAGCATTCAAGAATTAAAATCTATAGGCAGTAACTGAGGTATTGTTACAGTACTGGTGTGCACACATTTCCTAACTTGTTTATTTCTAGTTACTCATATAGCTGTAAATAATCAAGACTCCAGAATTTTTTCCTTTCATCATATCTTTTTACCCGTGACGCTGTTTTGAATGTACAATCATTATTGGCTGTTAGAAGTTTCAAGACTGTCTACAGTCTTGGAGATTGCTTATGCATTAAACTCTTTGGTTGTCTGTTAATCACACGAAAATGAATTTTTACTTTCTTAACAGTCATTATTCTCGATTCTTAGCGAAGTTCCAGACTACCTTGTCTGATTGTAATGTACAAAGCTTTTAGAATTAAATTTCTTCATTCTTGTCATCCATGTGTTCAGATCTTTTGTCCTTATCTGAGCTCTAATTCTGGAGAATGTATGGGTTTGTAAAATAGCATAGCAGATTCCTGAAATGTCTTGTACTATTTTGTTTGGAGAGAAAACCCCTTTTTATAATTAAACCCATCTTTAGAAACCATTTCAGATAAACTGAGCAAGCTACACAAATTTGATTTGATTTGAAAATTGCCCTTTGTAAGCATTAGATGAACGGAAAATGAATTAGAGTATACACAAACTAATGACTTTCTCCTCCATTTCTACTCACATTCTCGAGATGTTCCCTGTTCTGCCTATCTGCTTGTGCTGTGCAGTAAGAAATTTAGAGCTTGCATGGATTATATGTGTTATCCAGAATGTTACTGCATGTTTTTGTACATACTGGGGCTTAATTTCAGGTGATTGTATGGATGAATTTTACGTGACCTCCCTTCACAATTCATATTCATAACCTAATATTTTGTTAGAATAATTGATGGACTAAATAATAACAGAAGCTGCAACCAGAGGCGTGTTATGAAAGAGGAGAACAATATATTTCACATTTTGTTCTGAAAACCTCAAAGGGAGAGGCCACTCAGCACACCAGGTGTGGATAGGAAGATAACATTATTGAATATTAGAGAAATATGCAGATGTGAATAACACTGAACTTTCTGAGGGTAGGGTCCAATGTAATACAGTAATAATCGAAGAAAGTTTAGTTTCATTAGAGGAAATTTCTAATTTTATGAACAACTGTAATCTGCTCAAGGAAGAATGTATGAGATGG